TCGATTTGACATCCTCGTCCGTTCCGACTTCCTGTAGTTGAGACAAAACTCCCTAGATAAGTGAGTGAATGAAGTAACCTCTTTCAAATCCCTCCCGTTGATGGTGATTGACGCTGGATGTTGCTGTTGTCGTTGTTTGGTTGGTTGGTTATTTTCATAACCTCCGTCTTGTCTATGTTCACCTGGAGTCCTGTCTTCACTGGCTGCTTCTTCGACCAGTTTGTCGGTTTTCGCTTGTAAGTCTTCGATTTTGTGTGACATCAAACATAAATCATTCACGCGCGAAATCCAGGTCTTCTAGGTTCTTCACGTTGGTCCAGGATATCCCTGTCTGCTCGTTTCCCACTGTCTGACGCATAATCCAGTCGTCCACCACAATTAGGAACATCATTGGTGATAGTAAGCACCCTTGTCTGACTCCTGTGTTTACTCCAAACGCCTCGCTGAGTTTTCCGTTGTGGATCACTTGACATGTGCCGTTGTCGTACAGCTGTTGAATAAGGTTGATGAATATTTGGGGCACGCAATAGTACTCGAGTAATTTCCAAATTACTTCACGGTCAACGCTGTCGAAGGCCTTCTCAAAGTCTATAAAGTTGAGGTAGAGGTTTGATTGCCATTCCATGCTTTGTTCTGTGATGATGATGCGTAGAGTTGCAATTTGGTCAGTACATGATTTGCCTTTCCTGAATCCAGCTTGTTCTGGTCGGAGTTCTGTCTCCAGTGCGTCCTTTAATCTCTCCAGGATGATGCGACTCAGGATTTTACTTGGCGTCGATAGGAGCATGATTCCTCGCCAGTTCTTGCAGAGTGAGGCGTAAGTCGCCCTTCTTTGGTAGTTTCACGAGGTAACCTTTCCTCCAGTCAGTAGGCACCTTTCCCTCCTTCCAGACCTTTTGCAATAATGGAGTCAGCATGTCTGCTGTCGTCTCTGGGTCTGCTTTCAGTGCTTCAGGGGGTATTCCATCTGGTCCGGCTGCTTTTCCAGCTTTCAGAAGCTTGATTGCATTCAAGACTTCAGCTCTCGTTGGAGGATTGGTGTCAACTTGCAGTTGTGTGTGCGCTGTTGTTGGTATTTCTGGACGGGTTGCAGGTGATGGTCGGTTCAAGAGTCCTTTGAAGTGATCCGCCCATTGTTTAATCTGTTTTTCTTCCTTGGTAATTGGGTTCCCTTGGCTGTCTTTTATAGGTTTCGCTTGTGTTGATCTCTTCCCGGATAGAGATTTGGTTATCTGATATAGTGTCCTCAGGTCCCTTTTGCCTGCTGCCTTCTCAGCTTCAGTGGCCAGGTTGTCGTAGAATCGTCTTTTGTCCTTCCTAGCACTCTTCTTCACTTCTTTGTCCAGTGCTTTGTAAGTTGAGCTCATCGTCTCCTTCTCCTGTCCGTCCTTGCATTGAATCATTTTCTCTTTCACCATTCTCCTCTCTTCTATTAATTTCCAAGTGTCCGTTGAGAGCCATTCCTTGTCTTGTCTCTTCTTTCTTCCTAGAACCGTTGAACACGTTTCGTTGAGAATCGCCTTCAGAGACTTCCAATGTTCTTCCACGCATGATTCTTCAGTGATGTCGCGTAGTGTTTCCTGCTTTGCTCTGACAGTTGCAGTGAAGGTGTCTTTTGTGGTTGTGTCCTTCAGTAATTGAGTGTTGAACTTGCATTGTGGCCTATCCCCAGCTATCCTCGAGGCTTTTAGTTTCACCTTGAAAGTCCCTTCTACTAGATAGTGGTCTGAACCCACATCTGCTCCTCTCCTTGACCTTGTGTCCAGTAGGCTCCGTCTCCACTTTCTTGAAATTGAGATGAAGTCTATTTGGTTCTTGGTGTTTCCATCTGGTGAAATCCATGTCGTCTTGTGTATATCCTTGTGTTTGAACACACTACCGCCAATCACCAAATCATTGAAGGCGCAGAAGTCTGAGAAGAGTTCACCATTGTCGTTCATTTCACCGAGGGCCTCACGACCCATGGTGAGTTCTCTTCCTGTGTTGTCTCCTCCCAGCTTCGCATTCATGTCGCCCATCAGGATTTTGATATCGCCATTTGGGACGTTGTCCATTATTGCTTGTAGTTGTCTGTAGAACGCCTCCTTCTTCTCTTGTTCTGAGACGTTTGTAGGCGCATAACATTGAATGACTGTAACTTTCCTTCCTTTTGAGTTGAACCTGGCTGTCATTATCCTGGAGGAGATTGGTTCCCACTGCATGAGAGCTTTGGCTGCTGTTGGTGACATCATGATGGCCACTCCCTCGGTGTGCTCATGGTTGTCCTCTAGGTGGCCGGAATAGATTACTGTCTCTCCAGTAGGTAGTTGGCACCTTCCAGTTCCGTTCCATCTGCTCTCGCAGATTCCCAACACTTCTATTCTGTACCTTCTCATTTCAGCGGCTATCTGGGCAGCCTTTCCAGTTTCGTACATTGTACGAACATTCCAGGTACCCATCCTTACTTTTGCTTTCATCGAAAGAAGGCACATCGGCTGACTGGCTTCCCGAAGGCTTTCACCAGCCTGCGTCATTTCACTTCCCCGATTCCAGCGAAAAGTAAGGCTATTGCTTATGTTTTTAGAATTTTTAATATATTTATTCGTTGAAGTTTCTGTAGCGATTTGGTTGTTTTACAGGGGTGGAGTTGCTAGCACCACGCCCCATCCCTTCCTCTTTATCCGTGCTTGGGACCGGCTAGAAAACTAGTAAGCTAGTAGCACTACTTAAACAATGGAAGTGATAAATTTGACAGTTAATTACTGTTTTATGCCAAGAACTCTCTTGTATTTTAAACCAGCGGGCTGAATCATGCTACAGCGTTGAAAAATGGTCTTCGGTTCTAGTTTTTTGTAGTAAATTGCTGATCAGGAGATTTTTAGTGGGCTAACCGACAGGTTTCCTAGCTGTTGTCTAACTGCATAAAAATGAGACTCCGAAATTTGATTTTATTATCTGATTAGCTAATGTCCTTATAACTCCCTGGAAAGCCCTGTCCATCTAAACTCATATTGGTTTGTTTCTTCGCTTGTAAAAATGAAGTGGGTGGCTATAAAAGTAAACGCCGAAATACTTAGGAAATTAGCAAACAACGCTTGTGCTAACAATTGCACGAGCCACTGTTGTTCTTGCTTTATATTATTTCATTTATAGTACTGTTTTCTTATGTGCCTATTTGCTATTCTTTCTGCGTGTATTCAATAGCAACACTGATCTTATCAACTGTAATTACCAGTACATCTTGTGGAGACATAGTATACAAAGTTGATGTAATTTTATTGAACGAAATACTAAGTGGAAAAATTTCGAGTTATTCACCACTAGTTGTCCCATTGTTGTCACCACACAAACTCCAAGACTTGCAAGCAAAATCAACAAACTGACCGAAGAGGCAGAGAAAACAGGACTGTAGGTAAACCTAGAGAAGACGAAGGTGATTCAGATAGCCAACGAACCGCAACAATAACAACCAGCATCAATCACCATCAATGGGAGAGATTTAACTGAGGTTACCTCCTTCACTTACCTGACTAGGAAGCATCATTTCAACTACAGCCACATGACACGGATCAAGATGTCAAAGCTAGTTAGAATTGGAAAGGCAAGATACTCATTCATCAACCTAAAACTAGTTTGGGTTTCTTACGCACCCAGCATAAGGAATAAGATTCGTATTTTCAACACCAATGTCAAGTCGGTCCTTGTATATGTCTCAGAAACTTGCACTGTGTGTCACGAAAAATATTATCGAACAGGCTGCAGACTTTCATCAACACGTGCCTTCGATACACACTGAAGATCAAATGTCCAGAGAAAATAAGCAACAAGAAACTATGGGGAACAAGCCAATCGAGAACGGATCACTCAAAAAATATGTAGGAGAAAATGGAGATGGATGGATCGGGCATATGTTGAGGAGGCCATCGAATAACACATCGCGCGCCAGGCCATCACTCGGGTGGAGCCCGAATGGGAAACGATGGTTGGTACGATGGTGACATGGAGGTGATCGTGTGAGGAAGAGAGTATGGTGAATCGTGGACTCAGCTGAAGAGGGCGACAGAAAACAGAACAAAGTGGAGATGTGTTGCTGAAGCCGTATGTTCCACTTTGAACTCGATGGAATAATAATAATAATAATAATATGATAACTGTTGTATTGTAGGATTGTACACTTTTTGTGAATGTATAGCTTAAAATTGTTTAAGTATTCATCGAAGTACACCTTTTTAAACATTTTTAATATCCTTAATTGTCGACTGCAAAAACAGTCAACAGTTCTCTCGCTGTCTGGTTAATATGACTAAATTTATGTGAATTTCAGAATATTTATTACTAATTTTCTATAGTTTGGTTTGTAAGGGTTAGTTATGTTTTATGAGTTGATCACGGATTGATATCCGTTAGAGAACCATTGAGAACCAGCGTTGCAACACTGGACAGCTGCTATTTCATCCTAGTTTGGGAAGCATCGTCAGTACGCACCCACCACCAGGGTTCGAACCCAGGACCTTCCAGTTACAAAGCAAGCTCGTATACCTTTCAGCCACTGGGACCTGCTTCAATGGCCAGCCCATGAATTCTCACTTCTACCAGTTCTTGATTTAGCGCAACCCCAACCATCGTCGTTGGTGGGACATCCATCCACACACGTGACATCTAATTGAACCTCATTGGTCACGACTTCTTACTAGTTTCATTTGAATTTGTTATCTTCTATATGTGAAAGTACAAAAATATCTTGGATTAAATTAAGATATCTGCGAAATATGCCGTAATGAGTCAACATTTCTTCGATTTAGTCAAAATCTTTATTCATCAGTCAGAAATTTGAAGGAAGTGATTACTTACCTGCAGTAACCTGGCCTGATATACGTTTAAAGCTGGTCTTAATCAACCTGCTGGCATATGTTTAAAAATATACTGGAGAAGAATATAATTATTTCCAGTATTCTGTTTCTTCTCAGATTACTAATACAAAAATCTTTTAATTTAATTATGTTTATTAGTTGGCTGTTTCATACACACCCGAACACAATTTTAAAAACTGCTTCAATAAAATTTACAAAAATAATGACAACAAAGAGTAGAATGTTGTTTTCAGTAACCTTCGCGTTTAACATACGCATAATGTGTCGACTCCCAAATGCCTAATTTTCGATTGCCTCTCTCCAACATTCCAGTTAGTAAACATCCACGATAAAAATCAGTATCCATGATGTTTGTAGTTAGATACAAACAAAAATCTGGCAGTTTTTGTTGCTTTCCTGCCAAATCAGTTTTAAATTTTCCTGTTACAAACATTGTGCCCTCTAGTTTCGTAAATGTTGCATGTCCGATTGTTTCATATCGTTTAGTTCCTCCGCTTGTTATCTGAACAGAAGGTTATAAAAAGAGCGGTAATAATTTCTAAGCTGAAATTAAACAATTCTATGGTCCAATCTGTTTGTAAATAATTTTATGTTGATGGGAAATCTGTTCGATTGTTCATTAGAGACATTATTCAAGTATTTGATCAATCAAAAAACTATTAAGCATAGAACTGCAACCAGTTAGCAGAAAGCAGGTGAAACTTTTACAGGAGGCCAATATATGTACACATATTTCTACAAGGAATGGTGTTTTTGAGCGATGTCAAGTTAGAAATCTAACCAGTAAGTAGTCAGTGACAATTACTCGAAAAACATCAAATATTCTTTAGAAATTCAACATTTAAAGCTCAGACTATTGACTAAAATGGTTAATCTGAAAACTTCATAATATTCGCCCTCAGAAAAACCTTCCTCTTTTACTATTTTAGCTAAATAAAACAAACCGATGAAGATAAACTGTAGCAGTCACCTAATGACCTTGAACACACAATTCAAACACAGAACTGAAAAGCCCTTCAGTTTGTTGAAAAATTGTAAGTTTAAGTGGTTAGACTATTACCTGAACCCTTGATCATGGACCTAACTCCCAAGCTTAATCTAAGCTTTAACCCTAATATAACTCTTAACCGTAAACTTAAATTTATCCTAAAATTTTACCCTAATATAACTGCTAACTTCGTACTAGACATTAAAAGTAGAGAAGTTATATCGGCAGATAGCTCCTGAAGTAAAATTTACACTCTGTTTACGAATATTGAAGTACCTAGACTAGCCACTTCAAATTGTATCTATCAATTCAACTGCGCTTGTAGTAGAGCGAGTTATATTGGCCGTTGCTCTAGGAACTCGATTTTTCGTGCTCGAGAACATCTCCCAGCATGGCTAAGTAAAGGTGTAGTGAAAACTATTAACAACTCGATATTAGAACATCTGGTGCAAACAGGACACAAAGCCAGCGTAGATGAATCCTTCTGTATATTATACCGGGTGCCAAATAAATTACCAAAAACATCGAAGCACCGCAGGCTCCAAACAGCAGAGACTTTTGCGATTCGCCTCAAACAACCAGCACTCTGTGTTCAAAAAAAGCAAGTTCAACCCCTACTATTGCCCTGGCCTTCAGTAGAAGCTATAAACTCATGAATTTGTACTATTGTCTTTCTTAATGTTCCTGACATTCAGCTTATTCTATGTTGATGCGATTCAGGTGTAATTTATCAATATTATTGATTTGATGTTATTTAAACATCAAAACATTTAAACGTTTATAACACTAACTCATTCATTCACTATAATGTATGTATAAATGTAGAGCCTGACGATGAATTTATCGAAAAGAGTACTCTTTGTTCAGTATCCATTCTTTTGAAAATTATATATATGTTTATATACACAGAATATTCTAGATTAGCAGTTAATAACAACATTAGTGTTTTTTAAATAATATCAATTTGTAAAGTTTGATCATTGCAATTACAGTTCATTAAAGATGCTTAAATTATAATAGTAATAAAGATATAATAGCGAATAGAATATCAACTAAAATTAGGGAAATTCCACAAAAATTTAGGATTACTCAAACCCGGATGGCCAAGATAATGATAATGTCTGAACTAACTTCTTTTGGATACATAAATTAGGTTTGTTAACGTGGATCCCCACAGCCTCAGCAATATTTAGTAGTCGAACTCTTAAGGCAAAATCGAGTTTCGTAGATATGCTGTAAATGACCCTGAAAGTATGGTTAATGTCAGTCTTGTGGTCTGTATCTCCAAGATGAGATAGAATAGCGCTGCAAATAGATTTTGTTTGTCCTTTTCTTAACCACACAGGGTGATGTTCGGAAATTCGACGAGAAACACGCCTAATTGTACGGCCTATGTAACTGGCGAAGTTGGGCAGTTTGTCTTTTACTCCCGAACGCAAAAGAGGAGTGGTTTTGAAGACACAACGTAATTCGGCAGTAGGGAATGCTGTTTCTACCGCATTTCTAAGGCACTGTGTTAGTATCTCGCTGATGTTGTTCCCAAGGAAATGTATTTGTAAGAATAAGGCCTTTTTGGAACTGTTGGTAACTTGGGCTGCTATGGTTTTAGATTCAGATTCTTATCAATAAACTTTTCAGGATAACCATTTTTACTTAGCAACCGTTTAATATTATTCAGTTCTTCATCAAGACATTCGTCCTAGCAAATCGCTCTTGCTCTGTGAACCAGGCACTTTATCAAATTGCGTCTGTATTTCAAGGGCACAAAGCTGAGAAAATGTGTGTACTGACCCGTTGATGTAGGTTTTCTATAAACATATCGCATATCTGCTTCGTTTTATATTGATTCCCTAGTTGTTTTTTTTCTGAAGTTTGGTAGACAATGGTTACAGAAGAATTTATTCATTTCTCATTCTTTCTTTCAATAATTTGTAACAATGCCGTCACATGAAAAATGAATATTATCCCAAGAAACTAGATGATTTATGACATCATTTACAGGATTTCAGTCTGTATCATTCAGCGTCAACCTGAGTTATGCAGATCATGACTGCCACTCCATACTAGAAAGCATTTTAGGATTAGGTTTTAACATATTACAATATATAAGGCTGGGAAAATATTAATCTCAACTTACTTGAACAACTTTGCACCAATTTCTTAAAAATCGATTAAATGTCAATAGCCACTGTGACTCTGAACTTGGATATGGCCAATTTTCACATGCTTCCAATTTGACTACCACTTTTTTCATTCCATTGCGTAGAAGATAACTGCAGGATATCCCACGGCTTTCGTAATAAATAAGTTGTACCATGGAATGATAAATTATTCCAACAGATTTCTGTAGAAATATAAGGTATTTTTCATGATAGGAGTGAAAGATATAATAAGTAATCCTGAAAAGCACATCTTAGGAAAAGAAGTGCCTTGCAAATATCCCAACATATAATACATTAATTGGTCCGTCAGTTTTGCTGAATTTTAAAAATGAATCTGTGATAAAAGCGGGCAGCGAGATATGAAGAGATATGGTGAAAGAAGCGCAAGTCCTCGCACATGGAAATACTAGCTTATTTGACAAATGTTAAGAAATGATACAAGCCGGCCAAAACATTTAACACAAGGTGCTTAGCATAATGGTTTCTTTTTTATTCAGAGGTCTTCGGCAGTACACAAGCTCTGTATTCTGAGAAACTCAGGTGCAGTCCGAGCAGGTCGACGTACAGTCGCTGGGTCGGTATTCAGTATTATGTTTTCAGTTTGTGATTACTTCATGAAAACGAAGCTGATGCGAGGTTATCTTTAAGGCAAAGAAGTTAGTACTGTATAATATCCGACAAAAAGACGAAAAGATGATACATTTTTAATTTCATTCCCCTGCAGTCGGAGTGAAGCATGAAGCTTCTAGACTGAATTTTGAAGTTTCAGCAGCGCTGGAATTTTTTAAGGGGTGAGACTACTATCCTCACACCTTACCTTCCCTTTTTACCAGGCTTACTACTAGTTAAGGGAGGCCGGTAGTTAAAGGAAGTACAGCAATGTGTCATTCTGGGATCGAGCCCGGGGTCACGTGCATGGCTGACTAGCGTTCTACCGCTGAACTACAAACACACAGCAACGATATTAAGCCGCTGTTATAATACTTTCGCTAAAAAATACGAATGTTAACAATGAAATGTTACTGAATAACCACTTACAGCTCTATTCGGTTATTAGTAAGCCACACTTGTTATATATGAGCTAGTGACACCACAGATACAGCAGGGTTCAAACCCATGACCCAGTGGTTAGAAGTTGAGTGCCTAAAGCAGTGAGTCACAGGTCCACAAACATAGTAAGGCCTGGGTGGCACACATGTCGTATACAACCCTTGTCTAACCTTGTACACAACCGTTATGTTGCGTACTATCTCACTGTCCTCAGTAGATATGAAAACAAGTAGTCGCGAGAACACCATCGGAGCATATGATAGACTAGGTATTCACTAGAAAATATAGTTGGTCTTAATGTGAAATACATTTTTCAAAACAACAGAATTGTCACTGAATACAGTGAGCTTTGAGGTTATTGAACTTGCAGGTCAGGAGTTGGATATTAATGCTCGTGTGCTTGTTTGGGTTTTTAGTTTGATCGGGAAACTTGAATAGTCACTTCTGAAAAAGTTATCATTACTAGCTACATAAAAAGACAAACTTCGTTCATTTTTAGAAATGGTATGGTAATATAACTTTGAATGATATTAGGTGCAGTCAGTACATGCACATGTATTTTTATCTACTGTCTTGTTAAGATGGACTCCAGTTTTCTCGTTGTTTCTAGTGCTTTAAACTGGATGTGAACGTGACCACCTATAGATTTTAGTTTAAAGTGATAAATAACTCAAAAACGCCAGGAAGGTATTTAGTACTTGATACTCAGGTCAATTACAAATCGCTAGATTTACTTGCGCTAACTCAACTACAGACATCATTAAGTTCGAAACTCGAATCACGAAGACAGGCAAACAAAAAGCTAGTAGAGAATAACACCACATTTACAGGAAGAATTGTTCATCTCTGGTAAAATTTTGATTTGTGAAGAAAGTTTTCAGTAAAGTAAGGTATTCTCCGTGAAATAATTTTATTGAGAGCAGTGAATGTTACTATTTAATCAACAACTGGTGGCTTAATGTGAAATGCTAGTTTCACCTTGCCTGTAAATACAAAATCTACCGATAAGTGAATCGAAAATCAAATCAACTTCTGTAAGGTTTAAAAGCACAGACGAAGACTAAGTCACATTCTGGTTAATGTAGAAAAATAACGTAGTATTATTAACTAAAATTAGTGCGTCGGCGGCACAGCGGTTGGGATGCTTGCCGCCCATGCACATGATCCGGAGTCCGATCCCTGGCCAACGCACTCTAAGACCTCGCCGAGCCAGTTATAAAGCTGGTAAAGAGGAAAGGTTGGGCATGAACCTAGCAATTCCATCCTGTAAAATAAACACTGCTACATAAACTTCAAGCCTATAGCTTGAAGCCTTATGTTCCACTGGGGACGTGAAGGAATAATAAAAAAAGAAAATGAACTAAAACTAGGCCATGAGTTTTCTTTTAATTCAAACGTGGGAACGAAAGCCTGTTTTATCTTTATCTCGCTGTAGTACTCATTACTTATAAAAACCGCGCTTATAAGTATATACTGTTTCATAGGAGACTGATAAGCTATAAAGAAAAAAAGGGTAAAAACAGGAGAAGACTGAATTCCTAGTATTGGGTTTCTATTTCTTACCAGTAATGAGTCTATTTTCAATGGATTTTACAATCAGCTTCCGTCTGGTTTATTTATCTGGTATTCTACAAATAAAATATGCTACACTTTACACAATTAATTTTTGTTTAACCTGATATCGATAACAGATTGACTACAGTAGTTAAAAACTTATACCTAGACGACTTTTACCTTCAAATGTAAGCCACTTCTAGCTTGGTTTTGGTTTTCTCTACAGCACTGAAGATAAAACTCACCCTCTTTTAAATTTGAGGCAAAAAAAAACGAACCTTTATTTCTTAATTTGCTTTAATACACTAACAACAAAACTATTTCAAGCTGAGTTATCCCATTATAAAATGACCTCAAAATCCTTGAGGCTAAATAAAATCTTTCCTCTTTCTTGTCACAAGTTTATTTCCCGCTTGTATTCTAATTTATTGTTAGGTAATTGAATTTATGCTGAAGAAGTAGAGTATATTTAAACATAAGTGAGGAGAGTGAAGTAAATTAGCAAATAAAAGAAGAGTCCTTGAAAATCACCACTTACTTATTGTACAATAATGAAGCATAACTTCTAAAAAGTCAATTTCTACGATAATAATTGATTCTTTCTTAATTAATTATCGGCGAACAAGTAAGAAGACATAAATCTAAGTGAGACATTTTTAGCTGTTCCTGTTTTTTTCATGTTATTATTGTCGTTGAAAACATTGTTTGATGAGATGGTTAGAAAAGGTCCAAATCCGCAAATACCACACACACAAAAAAACAGCAAATACAAAATATTTCTTGGAGAACACCTTCCATAGCTTCTAGATACCCTACTTCATAAAATTAACACATGGTACTACTATCTAGATGTTTGCTTTATGCAAGCCAATAAGTTGGTCTCATAGTGTGTCAACTTTTGACATTCTCTGCTAAATTGAGTATTCGAACAATTTATCAAGTTTTTTTGTGGCAAACATCAAAACAAAGAATTTGTTTGAAATTCTAACACATTAAGTCAAAAAAGTATCTGAGATTTTAGCAACTTAGTAGTGAATGCCATTCCCGATAACGAAACGTGTCAGACAGTCGTTATTATCTCGTGTCCGAATCCTCAACAGAATGTATAATTTAAATTTAACTTTAAAGTTTCAGAGAAAATTAGCTGTTACTGAATCCCAGTTTGAATCAGCTTATACCGTCCCAGTGTACTAATAATTCCGCGTCTACAGCAAAGTTTTAAAGTCAGGAATTCGCCATCTATAAACTTCATTGGAGATATAAGGAATACATTTTCCTCATTTACTTGGAAAACACCCAACACTCGAAGCCTTATCTTTTTCCACACTGCCTATTTTATCTACAGAGCTTTCGCCTTTGATTTTAGCGCTCTCCACAAAAAAATACAACTTCTGTATTCTTTGTGATTGTTCATAGAGTTATTGACTGTCATTCATCTTCCAAGTTATAAACGTGTGTGGTTTTCCCGTTTGAGAATGAATTCATCCTATAGAAGTTTTCATCATAAACTAATAACTGTAGTACTGAACAAACAAAAAAACTTATCACGCGACAGGTGTTTCGTCCTATTTGAGGGATCTTTACTAACGCCAGCACACAATCTTTTGTGGTATTGGGTTCAAGGTTTGTGGTTAAGGATAGAATTTTCCAACAAACACACTATTATGTATTCTCTGCATACATGCTCTATGTTTGTTGTTTCCGCACTTTTTCAGCTTACTATGTAGTGCTAACATAATGCGACTTCCACTCACTGTCATTGGTTAGTAATTGCCCCAAAACTGAACTCGCCCAACCCCATTAGTGGCCCCCTCTCATCAAATTTATTCAAGTCCTTCTTTGAGTGAGACAGTAATGAACACCAAATTCACATTTAGCTACATCTCAAATTCACTTGGCAGAAGATAGTCGTCTTATGGGAGGACCGAATGTCCTATCCTTAATTTCACATCAGGTTTAGATGTGCTTCAACAAAAGCTCGAATTTGTTTTAAAAGACGGTCGTTTACTTTGCCTCGGTCTTCAGTGACTTCATACATCATAGTGGTTTTTGAAACAAACCATTTAAAACCAAACGGTCCACATGGATATCTAGCCGTTACACATATTACATTATTTCCCAATTCTAAAAATGCCTTAGAAATAAGTTGTTTTAACCGTCATAAGTGAATAAACTAGTTCTGTGAATATAAATGCCTAAAATACTTTACTGTCCTCCAAAATAGCAAACTCATGCGTGTGATGCTTAGCTTACTTTTATTAATTCATTGAAGATATCCCAAATAATTCCCCTTAGTAGACAATTATCACTACCTGTATACAGACTGGATAGGGATTACCAATCAGAATCAGGTGGTATCTAAAATAATACAGTTATCCCTGATAAGAGACAGGTCATATATCTCTCCTATGCTATCAATGAGTAATGTAATTATTATTAGAGCACTGACCAAATACTTGACTCTGTTATTGTTACCAAAGACTGAAAGGAAAAGGTAAACGTAAGTTGTTGCCCCCACCTATTTACTGTACCAAAATGATTGTATTTTCGTTCTAATAACAGATGTTTCATCCTGGCT